GTCATGTCATGGGAAACCCTGTCTGGAGACCCAGGTCATGTAGGGGGAAACCCTGTCTGGAAACCCAGGTCATGTCGTGGGAAACCCTGTCTGGAGACACAGGTCATGTCGTGGGAAACCCTGTCTGGGAATTCAGGTCATGAAGTGGGAAACCCTTGTGAACAACACACCCTTATTATTATTATTATGGTATGTTAACCACGTTAACTGTACAATGGTGCGACAGTTAGACTCATGGATAAGGGTTTATCATTCTGTATAGCATTTGGTCGAGGTGTCTTTCTTGTTAGTTTCTATGGAGAAAATTATGATTACCGGTTATTCATAATTTATTCATGGAGAGAGATTGCCTTCCCCCTGCTGCAGCTGTTCAGTGAAACAACTCCAGGAAATTAAGATTTAATCTGCAGCTGGAATTCACTGAAGCCTCCAAGTGTAATTCTGATGTTATTTTTATCAGCATGATCAGTGGGTTCTCGTCACAAGCACACGCTGCATCGCATGTTGGATGTTAAATGTCTTATTCTTTAATGTGAGTTACGAGCTTGTGGGGTTCTGCTATGAATAATTTAAGAATCATGTGATGAGCTGCATTGTGATTTCATTATTTGACGTTTTTCATGTTCTTTCAACCACACCTTACATCATATGTTACGGCTCTGTGGAGGTGACTAATGTATTTCATTGACATCAGGACACTCTTCCTTGACTATGCTTGTCGTTGGAGGCGACTAAGGGAATCAGGCAGTCAGGCACTCTGACTTGGTTGATTCATGTCATCGTATCCCAATTGCGTCGATCCATGCTCATGATGTCAATCACTGGATTTGTCTTTCCAGACTTGATTATTTACAGACTGCCATCATATAGCTGGAATATTGCTGAGTGCCACGGTTAACAACAAACAAAACAACAGACATACACTCTTCTTTGAATGTTAGAATATCTCTTAATTTGAGAAAATTAAAAAAACTTTAACAGAAATCCCAATTTTTAAAACTAGGAATGTTTCCCCGTGTGCCTGCCATTGAGGGCACTTAGTTTGGAAGGCGAGACACATCCCTGTAAGCATGTTTGTTCATCTTCATTGCTTTCCTGAAAATGTGTTTCCTTACAAACTGAATGAATCAGAATTTGGTAAAAGAATTATCAGATCTATGCTGATAGAAAAACATACACAAGCATGTAAGGGACTTCACAAAATAAACATCCACCTTTTACACCTACATGGAAAGTTAACAGGCATTGTTTGATGAAACAATATCACAGTTTTGTTAGTCCATATTTGTCATCTTTTTGAAGTGATGCAAACTATTGCAATAAGCCAGCAACTGCAAACTCGGCGTGTTAATATCTTCTGCATTGATGAGAGTATGACACATGGCCAAAGATACCTCGGCCGCATTTGTTTAGCGGACAGTTCAAACAGACTCGCACCAGCCGTGACCTTGATGACGGACTCTGGTATTAAACGGCCTGTTGTTTGTCGCCTCTGAGGGGCAAATCCTCAAAGATGAGAAATTGGCTTGAAGTAACTGTTTGATGCCATGTTTTTAGACATGAGCCAAAGTTTCACCAGTTGGTCATGCCAATCTCTGATAGTGAGTCATGCCTGCCAGGGACATGCCATGGCGCTGTTGACATGTCATGGTACTAGTGTCATGCTAGCTGTTGACATGTCATGGTACTAGTGTCGTGCTAGCTGTTGACATGCCATGTTGCTAGTGTCATGTCAGTTGTCAACCTATCATGGCTGTGGAATACTGCAAGACGGACAAACACTTCACAAACAGGAACCCAAAAATAACATGAAACATTTTTGTCCAGCAAACGAACAAGATTTATATCACCTGATGCATTTCACCTGATGAAGGAGTAAGCATATACTCCGAAACATTGTGTTCCTCATAGAAAGAAGTTGACATCCATATATTCTCTTCCTTTTAGATTTATTTACACAAAATGATCTTTAAACCATGAAATAGTAAACAATAGGTTTGACTTACCAAAAACATATTAAGCAAATGTGATGATATACAGGCTTTAATATATAAAAATAATTCTTCCAAGCCCCAGGGCTCACATGGATGTCTTTAATGCCTGATTAATTAAATATTCAGTGGTGCTGTTGTTGAGTAGGTGAGTATGGCAAGCCTGCATTGTTACTAAGCACTGACAGTTTCAGATTATTGAAAGACAGCCAGGCCATGCTGATTGCAAGACAGCATCAATTATTCATGATGAAATGTACAATTCTTTAAGATAGAACTTGTTTTCGACATGTTACAGAAAATGATGCATGTTCAACACTATGTTGGCAATACCAACTATTATTGGAAGTCATGTGTTTAAGACCAGACACATTATGCTAAGACATATTGAAACATTGATGATCACCCAATGCCTAAAATCAGAGCTCCAGATAAGCTGCATATCTGCGTAAATTACGCATCAGAAATGCAGAAATACGCAGTAAAATAAAATCCAAGCGTATCAAATACGCAACCAACATTACAGATACGCTACAAAAATAAAACTTGTGCGTATCATCAAAATATTGTGAAGTAACCCTGCGTATTCGATTAGCAATTCAGCAACTTATTTTGAAAGTATAAACGGGCATTCCGTCAACCTTGCCAAACTCCACGATGACAGTTACATCATGATCATTTGCCATCGCACTTTCTTGTGGAAGTATCGTGGTATTTTTGAGTCCTATAAAGCTCTCCAACCCACACGACACCAGTTTGCAGGGACTAGATGAATAGTGTTTTTAAATATTTAACTTAAATACCCACATGTGTAAAAACTAGTGGGTAACAGACATTTGAATACCCAGATAGCATTACTGATACCCAATGATTTATAAATGCATGGGTAAAAACCCACAACACCAAAAGCTTATCTGGAGCTCTGAAAAATATTCATTTAAAGCATAAGAAATTAGTACATTGACAACATTCTTTTAAAAATTTGTGGCAGTGATTTAACAGGTGCTACCCGGAGTAGGGCAGGACATGTTTACCCTTTTTGCGAACACCTGGTGTCATCACTGATTTTTAGCAATCCATTCATATAATTTTTACAGATGTTTTGCCTTTAAAAGTAAACCCTGTTTCGGCGGCGAGACTGCTTGTTCTCTTGTGTGGAAGTTATATATAATGTAATGCGCCTTATTTAAGGATTGAGTACATTTTTTATGACTACATCAAAGCAGGTCAGATGTGAGGTTTACATAATGCAAAATAATGGACATTTTCTGCACATCTCATACACAGGCAATGACCATGGTCCTGTGTATGGTGTAGTGGATGTCGATAAGCAGGTCAGTCGTATCCAACATGTGGTATGAAAATTGCTACACATTGATTTTTTGTTGTGAGATAAGTCTGGTTCTGTGAGGGCTGTTTAATAGTCCAGGTGGTTGTTTCTGAGAGACAATAGGCCCACCTGTCACTGGACGACCTCATTACTTGACATCAGTACCGACCCGTGAAGATCCGGGGTGGAATAGGTCTTTAGCAACCCATGCTTGCAGTAAAAAGCAACTATGCTCGTAAATCGCGACTAACGGGATCGGGTGGTCAGGCTCGCTGACTTGGTTGATGCAGGTCATCGATCCCAATTGCGTGGATCGATGCTCATGATATCAATCACTGGATTGTCTGGTCCAGAGTTGATTATTTTACAGACCGCCGTTATACAGCTGTAATATTGCTGAGTGCAGCGTAAAACAACAAGCCAACCAACCAACGACATCAGTACCACAAGGGGTATTAGGTGTCGTCTAGGGCAGGGATGGGTACTCGGGTACTCGGGTCGGGCGGGTACTGAGTAGGACCCGGGTACTGACAGGACTACCAGGACCCGTGGTTAGTCATGTGATGTAGTGTTTAATGACAAAAAATTATCTAGAACTCTATGGTTATACTAAAAGTGACTGATGTTTGCATTTCTTTTTGACTATGCACACATTCCTTCTGACTTTATATGTATGAATATAGATACAACTTCAGTCAACTTCAGTTTATGCATGACATGTATCTAAATACATTTTGCCAGGGCTACGGTCAGACTATTCCCAGTCGGACATTTGGACCTATCTCTTGAGACCTACAGTGGGTACCCGGGTAGGGTCGGTAATAGGGGTGTGGGTACCCGGGTAGTAAATTTGGACTCGTCCCAGCCCTAGTGTTGTCATTATTAGGTATATGATTTCGGCTTTCAAACAAGATTTAATAGTAGATAGATATATTGATACCTCACATATAAGTTGCGAATGTATCTGGGCATATTTAAATGTTGCTGAGTAGGAAAGAGAGTTAGTTTGGCTTTTCCTGGGGACTTTTCATATTCCATGTCTACCATTATCGTAGGTAACCATCTTCCCGAGGCAAGGGAGGTAACTGACTCTAAATGTCCAGTTTCCACCCTTGCCGAACTAGGCTGGAATTTCTGAGCTCGATTGAGCGCTGACCACTGGCTATTATGAGTTATGTCCCTTCTATGTTCCCTCCTATCAACCAATCAGATTCCACCTCTAACAGCACTTGCCTTTGCTTCAAATAAAATGGCGACGCCCAGTGATGACGTTCTGGTCGATAATCAAGATCTTATTGTTGTAAAACAGGTCTTACTTCGCTAAGTGCATCAAATCACATGAACGCCTTGATTAAAAACATGAAAATACTTGGAAAATATCTGTTGATGCTAAGTTGTCAGTATACGTGCAAATCCTGCAATCAACTGAAATCTGCATGTCAGTTTACGAACTGGATGTCGGTTTCATTACCAGATTTTGATTGGACTATGCATAGACTCGTTACACCAGCCAAAATATAACTCCATAATTCCAGCCTGATTCACTAAGGGTGGAAACTGGACTTTTACAGTCTCTTGCCTGGCTTAGAAGTACTCACAAGCTGATACTGTTCATGTCATAATGGTTGGTTCTCAATTGTTTCCAAGGACACCTGTATATTATTAACGATCTGTTGCAGGTGTCGAGGGCCGAGCTTCTGGCCAACTTTAATGCGACCGTCGCATCCACCGAGTCCACTGTAACTGTGAGATGGGACATTGTGGATCCTGTCAATGACACACAGTATATGCTAAAACACCACCGGACAGGAGGCATCTTCATCACTGACCTGTACTTCCACTCCCCCTTCAACCACACCCACATCGAACACACAATAGCCAATCTGTACCCTGGCGTCAACTACACCGTATACATCTTCCGCAACAGCAACAGCAGTGATGGCAGAATCTTCATCAAGAGCGTCAACACGGGTAAGTTGTGGATAGTGGCACTAATTCTAAATCGCATTTACTTTGTCACGATATTTCTGAAATATTGCTGATTTAACGTTAATTTTTGCTCACCCACACTCATAAGTCGTATTGAATGTTAGTTTGTCAGTTTTCACAATATTTAGCATTTTCTGAGGTATTTGTTTTTTGAATCTCGATGACTTTGTATAACTTGCCAATTTAAACAAGAAAGAGGTCAGTGTGCGTTCTATTGAGCTAGGCGCTCTTTTTTACTACCATTCCAAATACACACTTTACCATGGAAGCCTGTAGAGAAAAAACTTATCATCTTTAAATTACAGTTTTGCGTGAAAGTATATGTCATAGAGCATCGACCTATAAGTGAACAGAGTCAGTGAAACAATGATCTGCAATGTTCTTGATGTCTTTAAGGGGACCAGTCAGCTTTACTGCAGAGCTCCAGATAAGCTTTTGGTGTTGTGGGTATTTTACCCATGCATTTTAAAATCACTGCGTATCAGCTATTCTATCTGGGTATTCAAATTTCTGTTACCCACTACTTGTTACACATGTGGGTATTTAAGTTAAATGATTAAAAACACTATTCATCTAGTCCCTGCAAACTGGTGGTGAGTGGGTTCGAGAGCTTTATAGGACTCAAAAATACCACGATACTTCCACAAGAAAGTGTGATGGCAAATGATCATGATGTAACTGTCATCGTGGAGTTTGGCAAGGTTGACGGAATGCCCGTTTATACTTTCAAAATAAGTTGCTGATTTGCCAATCGAATACGCAGGGTTACTTCACAATATTTTGATGATACGCACAAGTTTTATTTTTGTAACTTATCTGTAAGGTTCTTTGCGTATTTGATACGCTTGGATATTATTTTCCTGCGTATTTCTGCATTTCTGATGCGTATTTTACGCAGATACGCAGCTTATCTGGATCTCTGTTTACTGTGTCGAAGTGGACATTCATGTTAAACTATGGCATTATATCTCAGTAGGCTGGTGCTTTAAAACCGGCATTAGTCTGGACTAATACAAGCAGCCACACACTCAGACATGTGCACAGCAATCTAAAAAGCGACCATTTTGGTGGTCAAATGTGACTTAAATCTATGATTGGTGACCTAAATTTATCTACTGCTCGCCTTGGCTACCTAAAAGTCAACATAACTGGTGACAATATCTGTTTAAGATATCTGTTGGCTCCGAAAAAGTTGGGTTAGGCTCCTAAAATAGTCATGTTAGGAGCGGCTTGGCTCTCTTACAAAACGAACTTAGAGGGCTGAGTGCGTGCACATCGCTATATACATGATATAGGTGCGATAATCTTGGAACGTAGCGTCAAATCTAATTTCACCTCACCTCACTTGGGGCGGTCGGGTAGCCTAGTGGTTAAAGCGTTTGCTCGTCACGCCGAAGACCCGGGTTCGATTCCCGACATGGGTACAATGTGTGAAGCCCATTTCTGGTGTCCCCCCGCTGTGATATTGCTGGAATATTGCTAAAAGTGGTGTTAAACCGTACTCACTCACTCACCTCACTTCACTTCAGTGTGTGACACTGTTACCTTTCCTGGTATAGAGCACAGGGAATTTGTTTGATTGTTTTGTCAGTTTCATTCTGTTAACACTTTTAAATGTCTTTCAGGTTTGTGCCAACAAAGAACTTAAGAATAACCCCAATTTTGAAATTGATCCCACCTTTTTGTCACTATCTTGTTGTTTCCGCCTCTTAACCAAGCAGACTGAACACTGGATGATATTGCCATCATTTTCCATCTTCTAGTTCCTCTGCCGCCCGTGAGTGTTGCGTCAACATCGGTCGGGACGACCTGGGTGGAACTGACATGGGACGAAGGATACAACAGCACACAGGAATCCCACCAGATCGTGTACACCGACCAGCTGAACAGCGGGAAAAGCACCGTCCAGGGTACAGGCAGCACCACCTTCAACCTGACCGGACTGCACCCGGGACATCGGTATGATGTCAGCATCAAGGCCGTGACGGGAGATAAGACCAGCAATGAATCGGAGTCTGTGACAATCACGACAGGTGGGTGATGTGATGAAGGGCCTGTCTGCTGTTTCTGTGTTATCCAGCAAAAGCTTGTTACCACGGGTGATACCATTCTCATGAGGGCATTCCGATTTGTACAGTTTGGATTGACAAATTATTGGTTACGTTGCTGCAAATATCAGAGCTCCACATACCCTTTTGAGCAATTGAGTTTTTACTCGAAGGTTTCCATTTTAATAGGGTTATTACATTTCTCATTGGGCGACCAATATTTTTTTTCACTCATCTATTCATCACTCTTTTTCCCCAAATGAGTGGACATTTTAAGATTTACAAAAAATGAAATAATATTTAAGATGTATATAATGGTTCTAAATATATAGGATTGAATTCTGTCAGTAAATATAGATATTTGATGATGTTTGTGTACGCAAGCTGAAAAGTCTGTTGTGGTTAATTACTCACATTGGTGTTATACAGTAGGGGTTTTGAAATTTTTTCAGCATTTTTGTTCACAAGCAACTCAAAATCATTTGGGTTATGGTAATTTATTTTGCATATTTTAACACGAATATGCAGGTTATTTGGGTCTCAGCTCGATGTACAAACGACTGTGTTATCTAATGTATGCCTTGTCCACTACAGTGCCGTCATCCCCGATCAACCTGGTGGTGAGAGCGGTCAACACCACCCATCTCACGGCCTCATGGGAGAATGCTCCGAACAGTTTGCAGGTAGGGAAGGTTTTCTGCTTACCACTGGACTGAATCCTTCATTTTCCATCTCATGACTTCATCCCTAGTGTCTGGTCCATCATTTGATTGTCTGGTCCATCACTTTATTGTCTGGTCCATCATTTGATTGTTTGGTCCATCACTTGATTGTCTGGTCCATCACTTGATTGTCTGGTCCATCATTTGATTGTCTACTCCATCACTTTATTGTCTGGTCCATCATTTGATTGTCTGGTCAATCACTTGATTGTCTGGTCCATCACTTGATTGTCTGGTCCATTACTTTATTTGCCTGGTCGATCATTTGATTGTCTGGTCTATCACTTGATTGTCTGGTCAGTCATTTGTTTGTCTGGTCAGTCATTTGTTTGTCTAGTCCATCACTTGATTATCTGGTCAGTCATTTGATTGTTTGGTCTATCACTTGATTGTTTGGTCTATCACTTGATTGTTTGGTCCATCACTTGATTGTCTGGTCAGTCATTTGTTTGTCCATCTCTAGAATGGTCCATCAATTGATTATTTACAGACCGTTGTCGTATGGCAGTAATACTGTTGTGTAGACCACATACTTTATTATTCAAATTGTCTGTGGCGGGTTCTACCAGTTGAGTAGGATTTGCTTACCCATTTTATGAAAACAAGGTGTCATCACTGATTTTCAATCCGATGGAATCTGTTGCGGCAGATAAATGAGACTGACATTGACGTTTTTTTATATATTTTCCCAAAATGAACTCTACCATATTATGATGTGCTACCTACTGTGACCCACGCTTTAAGAATGTTGATGATGCGTATAAGCAGTGATGAGCAAGGTGTTATTTTCAGGATGGTTATCGGTTATCATATATGGAATCAGAGAAGATGGAGGAATTAAATGCAACATGTCCCGCTGCCCCGCCATGTGTGTTCGCCCCTGGGTCACTTCCTGGTCATCTGTTCCGGGTGCTGGTGTTTGCCACGAGGGACAATCTGACCAGCACTGCCATCTCGGCAGAGAGGAACACAAGTGAGTTCAGACCTTGGGGGTAATATTGTCTACCATGGAAATGTTTGATATTTTTTCGAAAACAATATACAGTTAAGTCCCAGTAATCCCACTCGGTTGGTTGCATCACAATCTAAATGTGATTATTCCTGTTTTGTTTTTTGGCTAAGCAAGTTTATCTCTTCATCCGTTGTAATATGCAGCTACTAGCCAACTCGTCTAGCATCAAAACACTGGCCGTGTTCTCACGGGCAGATGACCACAAAGTACACTGATCACTGTGTTGGATTATCAAGACTGATTAATTGAGTGATTTTTGGTAATTTGTTGCAAATTAAGATGTTGGACACAGAGTGTGAGATCGTATCGGATCATGAACAAGTTACCATGATACCTATTGGACTGCACAGTTGATGTATAATCCCAGCCCCACTAAATAGCACTGATTTTGTTGGTTCCTATCATTAGTGTCGGATGAAGCTGATTGTCTTATGAATGAGTGCTATATGAGCGAGTTCGGATTAACAAGACTTGACTGTATGTAGGAAAAGGAAGGACACTGGGTTTAATCAAAATGACAATGGAAACTGTTCAAGTGTATTTGTTTACTGCCAGATAGCTCTAAGAAATAATGACCTCTTCCTGAAGAGCAAACTTAGCTTATGCACTTACCCTAATGATTGTATAGTGATTTGTTTATCTTGCTTAAGAGTGTCATACTGTTTTCTGGTAAAAAATGCATTTACTTCAAGAAGTAAACATCTGTGAGTTTTTAGGGGGTAGGTTTGTGTTTATCATTCCCATTCTGTTCTCAGAGCCCAACCCGGTGAGCCCGTTAGGTGGCGTTGCAGGTGTCCGTCGGATCGAAGCCACATGGTCTGCTCCGGTACACTCAGAAGTGGAATATTTTGAGGTTTCCGTTGTCAACACTCAGACAACGGCTGAGCAAATATTCAACAAGACCCTGGAGTCTGGGTCGGATGGGATGTATACATTCAGCGAGGACACCTTGATGGGGGGCGTTTCTTACAACGTTCATGTCACCTCCGTCACCAGGACTGAGAGGAGCGCTGCAAGGTTGAAGTTGTTCGTTACAAGTGAGTTGAAGCAAGCAAGGTTTATTATTTTTGTTGGTGAAATTTCATTTCTCAATTTTGTAGCTGAAATCAGAATTTACAGCACAAAAGTCACAGCATATATATATATATATATATATATATCCCCTATAGTTGAGCTTTCTATTACTTTGTCAAAGCTCCAGATAATTTTTTGAGCAATTGAGTTTTTACTCAAAGGTTTCATATTTAATTGGGTTATTACATTTTTCTTTGGGTGACCAATATGTTTTCACTTATCTATTCATCACTCTATTGGGTTTTTCCCACAATGAGTGAACATTTTAAGTTTTACGAAAAATTGAAATAATATTTAAGATGTATATAATTGTTCTAAATATATAGGCTTGACTTTGAAAGTAAATTAGCTCGTAATTGTGTTTTGGAAATTAGCTCCTTTGTACACATGCTGAAAAAGCTTCATTGGGTATTTACGCATGCTGTGTTTATACGTTTGAGTTTTTCATTTAATACATGTGTTTCTGTATGCAAGTTATTTGGAAGTAATTGGGTTTTGAATATTTTGGGGGTTTATTTAAATATGCTGCTTAGCTGTAACTCTGCCTCGTTTGGCTTTTGCAGTTCCGGAGAGCCCGACTGCCCTGAAGGGGACTGCCGAGAACACCACAGCTCTCACCATCTCCTGGACATTGCCCCAACACTCCCACTTTGAGAACATCCTCATCATGTTGACCAAACCCACACTGGAAATGGTCAGTATCACCCTCGACAAGGAGGAGACAAGGACGACTATCGTCAATCTCCTCCCCGGGTCTGTCTATCAAGTATCTGTGCTTGTCACCACCAAGGCCGTGAGAAGCAATGACATCACAAGGACGTTCAGGACCAGTAAGTGCATCAGCAGTTGCAGGAAATACCAGTCTCATTTATACACATCTTTCACTCTGATACGATACTGGGGGCACGGGTGGCCCAGTCGTCGAAGGCGCCGCGATTCGCTGTGCAGAGTTGCGTCCCTTGGGCATGCCAGAAACCTATGATTGTGGGTTCGAATCCTGGTTCGCCCCGATTATGATTCTAGGTTTGTCAGCACCATACCTGTGCTCGTGGGTTTCACCGAAGTGGTAAACGTCTGAGACCTGCATCACTATGGGCTTTCCTCCCACATTAAGCTGACACGCTGCGATATAACTGGAATACTGTTAAAAGCGGCGTTAAACCAAACTCACTCACTCACTCACTGATACGATACCTCGCTGCATGGAGATCTGAAGATGCTTCCATAGGAGGGGAAATGGGGTTAACATCACGTTTAAGACTTGCATGCATGTGTGGCTGCTTGTACTGGTCCGGACTAATGACAATTTTATAGTGCTCGCTAGCTTGCTACAGTTTAATATCAATACCCCACTCAGACACCGTATACTGACTCCTAGCCGACCAGTCCTTGTTTTAGCACCTTAATGCCGAACACCAGGCAGGGTAGCAACAAGTACCACCTTTTTAACGTCTTTTGGTATGAAGTGGCCGGAGATCAAACCCTGGCCTTCTGCTCTTCCCTGTCATGTCAGGTGATCAGTGTCTCGGTTCTTGATAAAAGTGAGTGAAACATTCAGACAACCATGTCTGATTTCCGTAGCTCAAACTAATGTGATGGTGACATCTGACTGGATCAAGAACCGAAGCATCCTTCATTTGGATTGGGCAGTCAAAGTTCTCCCCGGTTCACCTGCCACGACCGTCCTCGCATCTTGATGCAGATGGGAAGCAGTGTAGTAGATCTGTCTTGCAACAGATGATTGTTGTGTGAAGAATCCATGTCTTTGTTCTGGGGGATGGTGTTTACTGTCAACATTAGAACCTCATGTCTGATACTACTGATGCTAATGACACTTATGACAATATGACTAAAACTATGCTTCCATCTCCAGAACCCGACCCCCCAGCGTATGCATCTCTTGTTGTCACGGAGACAAGCGCCACAGTCACCCTGGCTAAGACTGGAGACAGCAACCCTGATTACTTCATTGTCCACGTTGAAGGCATGACTGAACAGAGGTCAGTATCTCAATGTTTCTGCTTACCAAAACATGGTTATCTAGGTTCTGTATTGTTCAAATAGAAACTGTGAAGAGTTGCATCCCTTTGGCATACCAGGATACTATGATGATGGCTTTAAGTTCCCCTAATTTCAATTGATAGTTCATCACCTCACCTTGCTCATAGCTTAACTGGTAAATGTCTAACACTTGCACCACTTTGGGCTGTTCTGTATTGTTCAAATAGGAACTGTGCAGAGTTGCATCCCTTTGGCATACCAGGATACTATGTTCATGGCTTTAAATTCCCCTAATTTCAATTGTTAGTTCATCACCTCACCCTGCTCATAGCTCAACTGGTAAACGTAAACACTTGCACCAATTTGGGCTGTTCTGTAGCGTTCAAATAGGAACTGTGCAGAGTTGCATCCCTTTGGCATACCAGGATACTATGATGATGGCTTTAAATTTCCCTAATTTCAATTGTTAGTTCATCACCTCACCCTGCTCATAGCTCAACTGGTAAATGTCTAACACTTGCACCACTTTGGGCTGTTCTGTATTGTTCAAATAGGAACTGTGGCATACCAGGATACTATGATGATGGCTTTAAATTTCCCTAATTTCAATTGTTAGTTCATCACCTCACCCTGCTCATAGCTCAACTGGTAAACGTAAACACTTGCACCAATTTGGGCTGTACACATAGAGCTTTCACACCATTATATTTAAGAAATGCTGTTTAAATCGTCGGTTGATCCAACTCACTGTTCTTCAACACCTTGTGACTGCTGTCAAAAGAAATGATTAATATGGAGAAATGTTTGGTGTATTTCAGGAATATATCGGTAGAGAACCCTGTTGCTGTGCTGGAGAATCTGTCAGCAGGGGAGGAATATGTAGTTAACTCCTACGCTGTCACTGGTAATCAGGATAGCCGAACTGTGTCGCGGAACTTCAATACAAGTGAGTGGCCCCGTGTGTGCTAAGTAATCATAAATATACTGACCGCCAAAAGAGTGTGTGAGTGAGTGAGTTTGGTTTTACACCGCTTTTATGAATATTCCAGCAATATCATGACGGGGGGATGCCAAAAATGGGCTTTACACTTTGGAACCATGTCGGGAATTGAACCCAGATTTTCGGCATTTATGAGCGAACGCTTTAACCACTGGGATATCCGACTGCCCCCACTGCCAAAAGAAACACGAATGCTAAACATGTTGGTTATTATGAAGACTTGCTCATATTCAGCTTGTCTGATATTAGACTGGTTCAATGCACAAATGAACATACCGCTATGTTGTGTGAACCGATGCTTGTGAACGCATCACATGTGACGTCATAGATCCATGACTTGAGATGCACCATTTGTCTTGTGCAGGATTTACGTGTGAAGTTTGGAAATTACTTGCAGCATATCGTGATAAGAATGAAGACACACTGTGCTAAGTCTTGACTGATTATCAGTTTTGTCATTAATTGGTACACATTGGAAACATCTCTTCTTAAAGTACATACTTTTCTATATGCTTCTGTGGTTTGCGTTTCTTTTGGCGGTGAGTATATATCTCTCATGTTTTAATACAAGTTTGGTGCCCTGTATACACTAACTACTGATAACAATCTCTGCCAGGACTCCAGGGCCCACTTGCACAAAGCGATCTTAGCGCTACGACTATTGTAAGCCTATGTTAAAGTATGGGAGTTACGATCATCTTAGCGCTAAGATCGCTTTGTGTAAGTGGGCCCAGGTTAGAAAACATCTTCAGTAGCCTATGCTGGCCAGGTTCGGTGACTTGGTTGGCTGCGTATCATTGTTCTCCGACCACGTGGATCGTTCACAATATCAGTCACTGGATTGTCGGGTCCAGTCGTGATTATTTAAGTTCGCTGCATATAGCTGGAATATTGCTGAGTGTGGCATTAAACAAGAATCAAACTGATTACAAGAGCACAAATTCATTGCTCATTGGAAAGAATGCAGCTGAGATGATACTCATGATCCTCAGAACCACGCCCCCCCACTGCGGTGAATGTGACGGCCTTCAACTCCACTGCTATCGACGTCACATGGTTGCCCCCGGAGGTAGGAAGACACGACAACTTCACAGTAATCCTTGTCCAGTCTGATGGCGCTAGCCAGGTGATGACCTCTCAGACCACCAACTTCTACTACGCCTTCCCCATCCTTGAGGCGGGACAGACATACAACGTAACCGTGGTGACCAACCTGGGGATGGAGCAAAGCTCACCAGTTCAGCAACAAGTTACGACAAGTAAGAATAGCCTCCTGTCGTCGTCAGTTAGATGTCATGAGTGTTGTGTGAGAACCTGTGCGATGATGAATCGTTTGCTTCCTAACATTTTGTGACGCTTCTAATACATTATAATTGTGCATTATTGATTCTTTGAAATATTTCAAAACAATTTAGAATATACAAAATTTGTGTAAAAAAAGACTTTAATAATATTCAGATTTTATATGACCAAATTGTTAATATATAAACTTATTTGATCACATCATTTGTTGTACTGATATCAAAATTGGGTGAAAAACAGTGTCATTCATCGTCCTTCAAAAGAGTTAAGTTTAGGTGATGTGTGCTGAAATGTCTTTTGTGAGCTTTTGTTTCTATGTGAATTACTAAATGATTATTTGTGATAACTGTGTTGTCAACCCGATGACTTATTTCATTTCAGCACCCTTTCCCATAACCCACTACTGGGTGTCCTTGAGGGGCACAACAAAGGTCATAATAAACTGGGACGCTCCCACGGGGACGTCATACGATTATTTCGTTTATAATTTCCCCCTTGGTAGCCCTGCCATGGGAGAACTACCCAGTGATCAGTTTGACCTGATGCTAGATAACCTTGACCCAGGGAAGGATTACTCCGTCACATTGTACGCAGTCAGTAGAGGAATCAAAGACAGTTTAATGAGCACTGGAGCTACAATAAACTTTTCAACCTGTAGGTTTATTTTGGTTTGAATCTGTCTAACCGAATCCTATTGGATGGTTTCTCACTTACTTTCAAATTTGGCTGGTTGGTTTTGGTCATGGAATTTCTCCTAGATTTGAATTTGATTGGTTCCTGACAAAACTCAAATGAGTGGTTCCTTTCTGAATTTGGATTGAAATGATTGATTTGAATATGTCTCTTTTGTTCTAACTTTGGCAATTGGATGGCATTTTTTGCCTATAAACGAAATGATGGTATTTGGGAATTCCACTGCACTATGAAATGCATCTTTTTTCTGGAGATGCAAAATGTAGAAATAGATCTCTATCTGCCTGTGATTTGATTTGACCTTTTATCTTAGGATGCCTTCCCCACCCTTGCATGTGTTCACATCTATTCTTCTCTATATCTGTTTCACCTGACAAGGCGTGTTTCAGAATCCTTGAATGATTTATTAACAAACGTCATACATTGATAATGAATTGTTTGAATAGGCATAACATAGAAGTTGACGAATGACAAAGTAGACACAATTTATGGATAACAACTTCTTTAATACTGTGAAGGCAACGTTTCCTTATACCGATGTGAAGCAAGACATTGCATGACAACGGTACAAGGATCTATACCAAAACGTCCTCTTTACAGCATTAAGTTGTTATCCATAATTTGTGTCTACTTACATTGATAATGTGTTGGAAGTGGAGACCTTCCTCTATTTCACATGTCAGTACAGTCATTATCAGATCTCTATGTCCACTATGATCTGGCCAACACATGCGAGTAATATGCAGATGTTATATACCGAAAAAACAATCATCAAGAAATTCTGAAATAAGCCTTGGGTGAATTTGAATGATTATATTTTGTATGAACCCTGTTTTTTGACTATATATGACTTGTTTTGCTTCTAGATGCTGTTGGATGCTCACTTTAGCAAAATATATTACGAGTTAACAGAATGATTATTCCTTTTTTCCATCATTTAAACAACTTCATGAAGAGCTGAGAATCGCTACTGAAAATACTAGTCTAACCCGTGAAGATTCCGGGTTGGTCTTCAGCAACCCATGCTTGTCATAAGAGGCGGGAAATGGGATTTGGTGGTCAAGCTTTCTGACTGAGTTGATAGATGTCATCGTATCCCAATTATGTAGATCGATGATGTCAATAACTGGATTGTCTGGTCCAGATTATTTACAAACAGCAGTCATATCCCTGGAATATGCTGAATGCGGCTTTAAACAACAAACAAACATACAAGTCATATTTTTTCTTCAAGCTTGGTTTGCATCAAATGAACACTTTGTTTGACAAACATTGCTATGTGCTTGTTATATAGTTAGGAACTGGAATCCACTTATTTTTGCAGACATAGAACTTATGCATGGCTTCAAATCTTATTTTGAATCCCATACTATTTTCTGATGTGTACAGAGCATCTATGTGTGATGTCCTCTTTGAACTGTAGCTCTTGTGTACAGTGTGTTTATCTATCACTATGAGTGAAAAGTATTGTATAACTTGTAAAATTATTTGGTGGAAGAATATTCAAAATGGTGGCAGGGTACGAAAATATATTTATTTTCTTATTGCGCTATGTTTTATACCTTAAAGAAGCATACATTTTTGATGAATTACATGTCAGTGTAAGCTTTTTGTAAAGCAGAGAAAACAATATCTTTGATAATTTGTGAACTTGTCAACCGAAACTAATCAATGAGACATGTCCTTTACAAGACAAACCATCCTCCTTATCCTCTTCTTCATCCTCGTAGATTCAGATTAAGTCTGTAATGAAGTTGTGCCTGACCTCCGTTCCTCCGTTTGACAGACCCCACCTCCGTTGCCACGCTGCAGAAGATTGAGGCCAACACAACGGCTATCCATGTCAACTGGACGTCGCCAGTGGGCCAACACTTTGATTTCTTCCATCTGGTGATAGATCCACAGGATGGTCCCATGCCCAACATCACCCGGGGGATGTAAGTCGGGGTCAACTGAGGGTGGGGGACTGGATGGGGGACAGCCAGTGTTTACTGGGAGAATGTTTCGGATTGAAGGCTGTGTTCAGAAACCCAGGCTTGCCGTAAAAGGCGACTATGCTTGCTATTCCAATCCAATGAGGATCCGGGTTAGGATAGATCTTCAGCAACCCATGCTGGTCGTAAGATGCGATCAGCCTCACTGACTTGGTTGATGCATTTCATCGTATCCCAATTGCATGGATCGATGCTCATGATGTCAATCACTGGATTGTCTGGTCCAGACTTGATTATTTACAGACCGGTGTCATATTGCTGGAATATTGCTGAGTGCCAACAAACTAACTGGAAAGGCTGTGATATTTTGTCCTGTACATACACTTTGGTCACACATTGGGCAGTGGATCACAGGGGTTATAAATAAGGCAAAGGAAGGTTGACTGATATCAAGGGAAACTCAACATCTCAGTTGGCAAAGCTTTGGACCCTGGAATCTAGCTGATTGTGTGCCACTGTACCCTGTTGAAATGGATAATAGTTGTGCAGTCATCACTGTTTACCAGGTCCAGATAAGTAACCCTGGGGATTATGGGTAAGAAAGGATCCTCAGGGACCAATGCTGGTCGTAAGAGGTGACTTGGTCAATCTCATTAAAATCAGGTCTTCTTCTCATTTCTGCAAAACAAGGATCTGAGGACATCCCATTACAGGTCATTTCAAAACGACTTTTCGCAAATTTTGACTGACCAATGAAATGACTAATATGAAGTCGACAAAAGTACAGGTATAGAACGATCTGGTCATGCATACACTGAAGATGACTGAAGTTTTATCTTTATGGAAACATATAAAGTCAGAAAGATTGTGTGCATAGTCGGAAAGAAATATGATCATTTGTCACTTATAGTGTAACCATAGAGTTTTGCCATTAAACAATATAATCATGTGACTAACCATGGGTCCGGGTAGTCCTGTGGGTACCCAGGTCCTACTCAGTACCCACCCGACCCGAGTACCCGAGTTACCCATCCCAGCCCTAGCTGCCACGTTGAAGCTATAATATATCTGTATGCAGCAAATAATTTAAATGACGTTTACCCACTCGAGAATCCATGGCTTTGGTCCTCACGCGGACAGATAGGGGGAGGTAAAACTATGCTTCAAGAAGTGACCTCCTTTTAAATTTAAGTGTTACCCTACCTGAAAGGTATTTATTGTTGTTCATTTGAATTAATATTGTGTGTTGTATTTGCTAGTGGAGACACAACATTCTGGTTTGTGGGTCTGAGCCCTGGACAGATGTACAACATCAGCATCAACACTGTCAAACAAAGGGCAGGCAGCATCGTGTGGGGAATGGTCACATACATCTTGGCAGTCACAGGTAGGTCTTTGAAAGGCATTTAGAAGTGGACCGCCTCCGTGGTCTTGTGGTAGAGCGTCCGCCCGGAGAGCGGAAGGTCCAGGGTTCGATCCCGGGCCGCGTCATACAAAAAGACGTTAAAAGATTGTACTTGTTGTTACCCTGTCTGGCGCTCGGCATTAAGGGGCTAAAACAAGGACTGGTCGGCTCGGAGTCAGTATACTGTGTCTGAGTGGGGTATTCATGTTAAACTGCGGCATGGTATCTCAGTGAGCTAGCACTATAAATCGGCATCAGTCCGGACTAGTACAAGTAGCCACACACACATATACACGTGCATGCACGTCGCTATATAAGTGCAATAATCTTGGACGCGACGTTAAACCCAATTTCACCTCACCTCACCTCATTTAGAAGTGGTACACATACGGAAGAGAATATATGGATGCCAACTTCTTTATGATGAGGAACACAACGTTTCGGAGTATATGCTTACTCCTTCATCAGGTGAGTGAAGGAGTGAGCATATATTCCGAAACGTGTTCGTCGTAATAAAGAAGTTGGCATCCCTATATTCTCTTCCTTAGTCACAGGTAGGTGGTCTTCACTTACTATGTCTCTGACATTAGTTTGTTAAGAAATATATATAACCCCGTAAACATCCTGGTCTCTAGAAACCCATGCTCGTCATAAGATGCGACTAACGGGATCAGGCTATCAGACTCGGTGACTTGGTTGATGCATGTCGTCATATCCCAATTGTGTAGATCGATGCTCATGATGTCAATCACTGGATTTTCTGATCCAGACTTGACTATTTACAGACTGCCGTCATATAGCTGGAATATTTCTGAGTGATGCTTAAAACAACAAACAGACAAACAAACAAATGGACAGAGAAAATATCTTTACAGAATATCTGACATCTTCAGGTCACAAGTTTTCCTTGGTAAACTCAATTATTTACAGGTCACTCTCAAATAGCTGGAATATTGTGGTTAGTGACGTAAAGCAACAAACACACTAGTGATGTATATCAGCTACTAGCTGTTTTTAACTGATGACAAGTATGTTGTTTTTATAATTGTCTAATTTCATCTTCTTTCAGAACCTGAACCTGTAGCCAATCTTGCTGTGACCCCTGTTGATGAAGAGTCTCTCAGTGTGAAATGGGATTTAAGTGTTCCTTCTCAACAAAATTTCTTCATTGTAAGTTTGCTTATTTGGGAATTAGTTTAAAATATATTTAGGTTTTGCAATTACATGAACTGCTATGTATGTGTATGGGAAAATTTGTATTGCTTTTCTTTGACTTCAGAAATATTTTTTTTTCTTCGTTTTCTTCTACCTGTTAGTGACACATCAAATGAATCCGCTGATCGAGACAAAAAGTTCCGAAATTTGGAATATGATTTGATTTTCCCTTCATTTTTGTCTTCATAATGCAAAGACCAAAGTTGAATAGAGTAAGAAACCCGCATTTTCTGTCATTTTACATTGTCTCAATGTTAGCTGATTCACAAAACTTTTAAGAGGGCATTTATTGAAACTATTGAATTTTTGTTTCAATTACCAATCCTTTGGTTATTTAAAAATGAATAAACCAAGTATGTGATAAACTAATAAGGCCTGAATGATATTTATTTTGACACAACCGTCGTATGCGATGTACATGGGAAAATGTTTGTTCCAGGTTGAATATGGCGCTGGTGACCAGCAGCGGTCGGCAGAAGTTACCTACATCACTGGACAGACATCATATGAGCTCAGCCTGTCCCAGCTGTTGAGTGGGTACACCTACAATGTGACGGTGAAGGCTGTGCGGGCGGTACCCCAGCTTGACGTGGCCTACAGTGCAATACGGTCACAGACGGCAACCACAGGTAGGTAAAGTGCATGTTTATCATGCGCCAAATCCACACCTAAGGCATGCTCAGAACGCTACATTATTACCCTGTGAACTAGATTTTCATTCTCAGCTCCCTGGGGAGTATTCCACCTAAGCTGGTTGTAAGGTGCTAGAAGATTAGCAGTCACATTACTATTGAATTCCTGGCTCAGAGTTGATTGCAACAACAATAGCGTGTGACACTGTCTTAATTGGAAATACTTGCTAGTTTGTAGATTCATTGACAAATTGACCCATGAAGATTCGGGGTAGAATAGGTCTTCAGCAACCCATGCTTGCCTTTACAGGGGTAGAAACTAACATATTTAGTTCACTTGTCCTTATAATAATAACATTTAGCCAAACCCTTAAAAATGGCAAATTTCTACTCGTCCTTAGGATACCTTAACTATTGGCAAGTTTGGCAAGGACTACAGGACTAGTGCCAATTTCTAAGGCTGCTTTAAAAGGTGTCTATTGTTGTTGGATGAGGCGACTAACGGGATCAGGTGGTCAGGTTTGCTGACTTGTTTGATGCATGTCATCATATCCCAATTGCGTGGATCGATGTTCAGAATGTCAATCGCTGGATTGTCTGGTCCAGAATTGATTATTTACAGACCGCTGTCAAATAGTTGGAAAATTGCTGAGTGCAGCCTTAAGCAACAAAACATTGACAATTTATAGATTCATGACTTGTCCATTCCTTTATTCCAGCACCTAAACCAGTGACGTCCCTACAGGCAGTGGTAAACAGGACAACCATCAGCCTACAGTGGGAAGCTCAAACTGGCAGCAAACAAGACGTGTTCAGAGTTGACTTTAGACCTGTGTTCCGGAACTCTGCCACTGCCTTCATTGAACAGAACACTACAGAACCTCGTCTGGTTCTGCCTGGACTGTTTCCCGGTGAAATGTACCAGATCCGAGTGTATGCCATCAGTGGTAATATGATCAGCGAAATGACCACTAAAACAGCTGTTATAGGTCAGTAGACTTGAGGAACATACTGATATGTCTTCTAGTTGGTGATATGGAGTTGTTATGGTAACTGGAAACAGCAAAAATTGTAGACTGCAGTCTGTTGTGTAGACTATTATCCTTTGTGTCCTTGTGATAGCTGTTGCCTGCATCACACCATCCATCGTTCTTCCTATAAGGGGCGATGGGGTAGCTTTGTGGTTTAAGCGTTTACTCGTCACGCCGAAGACCCGGGTTCGATTCCCTACATGGGTACAATGTGTGAAGCCCATTTCTAGTGTCCCCTGCTGTGATCATAATGAATGTATGTTACTATTTGTGTCTTTCTTCATTTAAGTTAATACTTTTTTGATGACAAAAAGGGAAAAAAATGCAAAAACAGGCCAAACTGAATTTCTACACAGAGTTATGGGAATTGAATTGCCGCGTCGGCAAGAGGCCACCCTAACTGGTGATGTTGCTGGAATATTGCTAAAAGGGGCGTAAAACCATACTCACTCACCCACTCCTATAAGTTTTGTATAATTATACAAGAAGGATCTCAAGAGACGAGAAGTTTATAGAGTAAGACATAGCTGACAGTAAGAGGTGTGTTTTTGTCCACTTCAGCTCCCCTGGCCCCAACTGACCTGTCAATCATGTTGGAGCTGACCACCACCTCCAGCGTGACCCTGGGCTGGACGTACCAGCAGGAGGAGACCTTTGTCCAGACCTGGTCAGTCAGTGCCTACAACGACACCTTCTCCCTCCCGGCCGTCAATGTGACCCCTGGTGCCAACTCCCTGGTCCAGTACACGGTGGATAGTCTGAAAGCTGGCGCCAAGTACCAGTTTCATGTCATGGCTGTTGTTGAAGGGAAGGACTCTGCCACAAAGTCTGTCAACACCACTGTCAGTAAGTAGCATGACACACTGGAGGATTGTTACTGGTCAATGCACTGGTTGATTCACACAATCGGTTTTGTCTACAACTTGCTTCATTTAACTCTTTCCTTTCAGAGCCGAAGCCCATTTCTGGTGTCCCCCCGCCGTGATATTGCTGGAATATTGCTAAAAGTGGCGTAAAACCTCACTCACTCACTCACTCACTCACTCACTCACTCACTCACTCACTCCTACCACCTGCTCCATGAGCTGTAGCTGGGATGCAGAATACATTGATATTTGTTGTTACTGCCTTTTTTTGCTGACAGGACAAAATTTGTGACCTCCACTCCTCACTAGTCACACCAGTCAATTATTTTTCTCACAGTCTATTGCCAAAAGGAAGCCCATTTCTGGTGTCCCCCGCCGTGATATTGCTGGAATATTGCTAAAAGCGGCGTAAAACCATACTCACTCCTTTCACAGCCGACACTTAATAATTTTATTTGACGTGAATCCCAGGTAATCCCAGATCATAGGTTCGGAGTAACGTATATATGTAGAAGCTCTCAACACCGGACATGCACTGCATGGAGTTAGCTATGTCAATAACTCTGTACATTTGGGTATTGGATGTCAGGCCTGAATACATGCACTACATGAACTGCCTTGTCTGCCTGCTACAGAGCCCCTGCTGAACATCGCGTGGAGTGAGTCAGACCAGCAGACCACCAACTCCTCCGTGGTCTTTACCTACAGCCTCCCCAGCAGCGACGACATCTTCACTGGCATCCGCTTCTCCGTCAACTCCACTGTGCCTGACATCTTCCGCCCCAAGAACAACATCAGCGTGGTCAAGTTCTCCACCCTGGTGGCGGGGACACTGTACAATGTGCGGGCGGTCAGTGAAATCAGTGGGATGACCAGTGACCCAAAGTTCCTTCCCATCAGGACCAGTAAGTAACCAGCCTTACTTGAGACACGCAAATATGTTTCATGAGAAAATATTTTACTGACAGTTGAAGATAGAAATTGTTTTACCACAGAAATAAACACAGTGACAGACGCGGACTCTAGTTCGGGACTAGTAATCATCTAGAGGGTCTTGATTAATCATCACAATCTAGGTATTTATGTACTCCTCTAGTCTTCGGACTAGATGGACGTAACCAATGGTGACTACCCTTATAAACATTTAAGACCAGGTATTTTTGGACACTGGTTCAGGACTAGTAATCATCTAGAGGGTCTTGTTTAATCGTCACAATCCACGTATTTTATGTACTCCTTTAGTCTTCAGACTAGATAACGGAGCTCCAGACTAGATGGACATAACCAGTAGTGCCTACCCATATAAACATTTAGGACCAGGTAGTTTTGGCTTCCTCAAACATTAATCTGACACCCTGTGAAAAGCTCATTGTGGTGTTGATGCAACACTGATCACTGATAGATTCAGGATTTGTTTATTTTGGGTACTGGATTCTTTAATTCTGTTTAAGGACCAAACCCAGTGCCTGTCGCCCACTCCTCAATGTCCAATGAGATCAAGATCCAGTTCGGGGAGCTGAATGGCAACGCTGATGCGTTTGTTGTTATGTGTGATAACGGGGGAACGACGTGCTGGAACCACAACTACAGCTCCCAGGTACATGAGGTGAGGGTCAGCAACCTGCAGCCCTACACCAACTACAACATCACCGTGCGCACTGTCGCTGGAGACAAGAGCGAGAGTCAGACATTCTTAATACGGACCAAAGAGGCTGGTGAGTTGCTTGCTTTATCCTCTGGTTATACTGCAATAAATGAGTTGCAGATAATGAACGTTAATACATCCATAGATGAAAAGAAATAAAATTTTCAGTTTTTAAATACCTTCACACCTTATTTTTCTTCCATGTTGATGGAAAGTTCATGGAGACAATCAATGGTTTTGTCTTTGTCTTAATCTTTGTGAACAAAATATGACATTGTGATTCTCTGATTTGTAAAATGCTTTAGGTGACCTTGGTTAGTGGAAGTTTTGATCAAAATATATTAAGGTTTGAATGTTTCTATTCAGTCGTGTTGCTTCATATCGTTTGACTGGTCACATGTTTAGTATTGTGGCTGTCAAGTCTGCAATACCCTGTGCTTTACGTAAGATGTATGTGGTTGGAGGGTAAATGTGTGTCACCGCTTGGATGGTTGCTCATGCCATCAACTACTGGTTTTCCTGGACCTGCCTGTGATTATTTCCAGCCTGTGTAGGGGCGGTCGGGTAGCCCAGTGGTTAAAGCGTTCGCTCATCACGCCGAAGACCCGGGTTCGATTCCCGACATTGGTACAATGTGTGAAGCCCATTTCTGGTGTCCCCCGCCGTGATATTGCTGGAATATTGCTAAAAGCTGCGTAAAACCATACTCACTCACTCACTCACTCCAGCCTGTGTTGATATAGTTGGACTATAGCTGACGCCAGCTATGAGCAACACTAACTCACTGACAGATGTGTAGCAGCAATGGTGTCGGTTCTGGACCCACTTGCACAAAGCGATCTTAGTGCTAAGACTATTGTAAGCCTATGTTAAAGTTTGGGAGTTACGGTCATCTTAGCGCTAAGATCGCTTTGTGCAAGTGGGTTCTGGACAGCAAGATGGATTGGAAGCTGACAGCAATCCAAAGGAACTGCAAGGAAACTTTGTACAAATGATGCGCCATAGAGGTTGATGATGTTTCATGTATTCGTCTTTTCCAGCTCCATCCAAAGTGCGTAACGTGAATGCTGTAACGACGATGAGTCTGACGTCTGTGCTGGTCACATGGAACGAGCCTCAGTACACGAATGGGGAGGTCCAACATTACGTCATCTCCTATTCCGGTTACGATCAATCAATCAATGGGGTGGGTACATCTCTTGTCTGCACCACTTGGGGCTTTCCTCCCACATCAAGCTGACACACTGTGATGCAACTGGTATACTGATCAAATCGGCCTTAAACTCAACTCAACTCACTGACTCAGTAAATGGTGTCTGCATCACTTGGGGCTTTCCTCTCACATCAAGCTGACACACTGTGATGTAACTGGAATACTGTTCAAATCGGCCTTAAACTCAACTCAACTCACTCACTCAGTGTAGTCATGTTCAATGATGTTTTCTTGTGAATTGATGATGATGATCATGTCTTTGTTGCAGCCTAAACACAATGGAAGCAAGGAAGCTGACAGTAGCAGCCGGAGGCTGGAGTTGACTGGCCTCAGAGCCGGCTTCTTCTATACTGTTTCTGTGAGTTTTGCTGAAAAAAACTAAATATTCCTCGATGAATGGATCTTTTCCTCTCAGTACGCAACAAACTAATTCAAACTTGATAGCAACCGTTATGTCTTGTTTCAGACAAGGAAAGATAACTGTGGACAGTTCACAGAACTACCAAAACTACCAACTTCTTTAACAATACCACAAATTCTTGTTCGCCCTGATGAAACTTGTGGCTTACATGGTATTTGAGAAATATATTTTTTTTATGTAGACCAATGGCATGTTGCCTTTGAGAGGGACTTACCTTGTGTGATGGGTGTGCAGGTTATGATGAATCAGATGTTTAGGTTGTGGATCAGTGACCACATGTTAATCATAATGTGTGGGTTGCTGTATTTTATTATTCATTTTTATTCACACAAAACTAAAAGGAAGTATGCACTTCTATGATGTTCGTGGCTATGTATTTGTACAAGCTGATAAAGTCGTGTCTTATTCAGGTGCGGGCATTTACCGTGGCGCTCGGGACCCCTGGACAAACAACAGTCCAACTGGGCACAGCAGGTAAGAGGACAACAACAACAACAACAATAACAACAACATTATTGTTCTTATTACATAAAAAAATATACTTATATATCTTAAATTGAACGTATAAACTATCTCCCTTTCATTATTGTAGAGAAATGCCTGATACAAACGTTGTCATGCAGTGCTTTAATAAACTTGATATATGTTTTATTAATTGACATCATGCATACCATGTATTCCAACATTTTTCACATTAAACCAAAAATTAAAAACTTTGATTAAATTGACATTGCTTCTATTTCCCATTCATCCATAAGCCACTATGGACTGTTCACAAACAGAACAGACAGAGAATGGTGATGTGAAATAAGATGCATGTTGTCTCTCTCGATACCTATGCTCCATAATATTCCTCATGACCAGCTGGTATCCATTCTCCCCACAGCACCAGCTCTGAAGGCTGATTTCACGCAGGACACTGCTAAGCCACGACAAGCATCCACGGAGCCTGGAAATGTTGGTGAAACATTCGTGAAGGTCACCTTCCCCAACTCCTTCTCGGATGCCAACGGACGGATCATCCAATACACAGTGATCGTGTCGACCGACGAAAGCATTAACGAGCTGACGTCGCCCCAGTTGCCCAGCTGGAAGGAGGCCCAGCAGAAGGCCTCCATCAAGGCCTACCAGACCATCGGCAACTGCTCCGACTTCTTCCAGGTAGAATCCACGTGCGGTGTCGCTGGGAGGAGGAAGCGGGCTGCGGAGACGGTGACGTACAAGGTGTTCACTGTCGGCTCCCAGACCAGCTGTGGCAACACCGACTACTGTAACGGCCCTCTGAAGCCAGAGACGACCTACTACTTCAAGCTCCGGGCGTACACCATCGGTGGATACAAGGACACAGCATACTCACAGAGAATAACAACAGGTGGGTGGTATGAGGCATCATGTGGCTTGTTGATTATTTAATTCTAATTATTAGGGTCGGTCGGGTAGCCAAGTGGTTAAAGCTTTCTCTCGTCACGCCGAAGACCCGGGTTCGATTCCCGACATGGGTACAATGTGCGAAACCTATTTCTGGTGTCCCCCGAATGATATTGCTGGAATATTGCTAAAAGCAGCGTAAAACCATACTCACATCACTCACTAATTCTATTTAGTCGCTATATGGATGAAATGATGCTGACGTTTAGTTTATCTCACTCACTCATTTTCATTAATAACTAGTCACCAACCTAAACATTAGAATACTTCCTTGTTTAAGTCTTTTATGATCCATCTGTGATATAAGGCCCACCACTTATTTCTGACAGCTGATACAAATCGTCTGGGGTGGGGTTTTAGTAGCCAAACACCATTTCCGATTTGCACGTGACTGGGGGATGTCATCGCCTGATGACTCTTGTTTACCCAGGGAACATAATGATGCTAGTTATAATAGGCAGCAAGCACACACATCATTTGGGACTAACATGCAGTCGGCATATTTGAAAGATATAGCTGCTGTCTGTCTGATTGTGGATTTTCCTCTCTGAAACTTACTCACTCACTCTCCTAACAGCTGCCACACCCAGCAATGCCGGGGGTATTATTGGAGGTGTCATCGCTGCCATCCTCATCATCGCCATCATCGCTGCCGTACTCATCTTCCTTCGCCGACGAATTCCTAAACGGGCACATAAGTACAATGGTGACCGCATACAGTTCGAGCAGTCCAGTATGCACAAGTTTAGGTGAGTTGCCTCCCTTGTCTTTTGTATTGCCTCAACTGAATGACCACAACCGTTGTAGTGTTTAGTTGAAAGTTTGATGGGGTACCATTTGTCACAGATGTACAACCAGGCAACTGATTTACTCTACCTCAGATTTTGTGATGTTTAGGCATGAAAATGGCGTTATTCATCTTGACCCAGATCTGCTGCTGGGAAACTAATATACTGAAGTCAACGTAATAAATGCCCAGGGCACTCTCAAAATTAGAAATAGGGGGCTCTTATTAGAATATTATTTTGGTGAAAAAAACAGAGTTAAAGGATAAATTTTGTGGTTTATGCTGACAGCCTGAAATGTTTATATACGACATATATATTTTTCCAGAATTTAATTGCCCATAATTAAGGATGCATATAACACACAAGTGCGTATTATACGCAAATAATTAAGTCTTGTGAACATTGATCAATCAGAAGGGGTGCTAATTGGGATTGTTCACTAGCCAATATATTAGCAAATATCGCCGTGGCCGCTTATTAGAGCGGGGTGCTTATTATGTCGAATATGGTATTTTGTCTGGGTCTAATAGTGGGGAAAAGTGTAATGGTGATTCAAATTCGGGTTTGCATAGTATTAAAAAACCAAAAAAATAACACTTTAGAAACAGGATGGTATTAACATTGTAACAAGCTTGATACCTGATATACCTGGATATACTTGGAACCTGATGAACAAAATTCACAGAAAGTTTGTGATGATTCTGCTTGTGTTTGTAGGGTAAGATGCAAGTAAAATCCCAACGTCTTGAAACTCATTTAGTCCAGCGAGACACAGAGTAATACATAGTTATTATTATATGAGCACGTGTGTCGTACTGATTTTACCAAACGAGTGTCGGAATGTCTGGATTAGCCTTACGAGAGTGACGGAATTACATGCATTCTTACACGAGTTTCATAAAATCATTTTGACAGACATGTGAGTGTAATAATTTCTTTTGTACCCGTTATTTTGAAATCGTTTTGGGAGACCCTTTAGGAAAATGCACTTGGAAAACCACAATAGTCGAATGTCATCAACATACTTCAGCTTTGACGTCGTTTCTAGGGTGACGTCATTCTGACCTTACATCATGAATGACGTCAACAATGACGTCTGGATGACATAAGCCACACACTGGTGCGTGTGAAGTGATATTTGCAGTAGTGCACAGACTGCACAATTTTATGCACTCGGTTATTTCTGACCCTGTCGCTAACAAACTTTGTTATTCTCCCCCAGTCGTCCAGTGAAGTTGGCTGAGTTCAAGGACCATGTGAGGAAAATGACCGCTGACTCGGACTTCAGATATGCCGAGGAGTATGAGGTGAGGGAGACAGTATGAAAACACACACACTTAAATATTGTTGGCATTTTGAATTTGTGCTCAACATTTTTAATTTCAAATAAAACAGGTCCAATAATAGAAAAATAACAAAGGAGTGAGTGGAATAACATATCTGTTATCCCGGACTGGGTGGAATACCATATCCCGTTATCCCGAACTGAGTGGAATACCATATCCTGTTATCCCGGACTGAGTGGAATACCATATCCGTTATCCCGGACTGGGGGGAATACCATATGCCGTTATCCCGGACTGAGTGGAATACCATATCCGTTATACCGTTATCCCAGACTGAGTGGAATACCATATCCGTTATACCGTTATCCCAGACTGAGTGTAATACCATATCCTTTATCCCCTTGTTCTAGGTTCGCGAGAGTCTCCTTGACAATATTTTCCTTGACAGGGTATTGAACTACACAATGTATTTTCTAACAAAACAGGACTTGAAAGAGGTTGGAAGGGATCAGCCATGTATGGCAGCCGAGTTCCCAGCAAACAGACCCAAGAACCGATTCACGAACATCCTGCCGTACGACCACTCTCGGGTGAAACTCCTCCCCACGGACGATGACGAGGGCTCGGACTACATCAATGCTAATTATATGCCAGTGAGTATCTCACCATCCATATCATCTGCCACTGGTTCACATTAATAGGTTTTAGTATAAACGTTGTGTTAGAACTTGTATGATTTACACATTCTGCGGTATTTGAAAATTGGTTGAAAGTTTGGATTTACAAATATTCCTTGTGACTGGTAATGTCAAGGGAATTGATATTCTTTTTATCCTATGAACTGTTTTTAGATTTTTTTTAGATTTGAATATTTGAATATGTTCAAAATGATTTCATTGTTTTGATGTAAAAGTGAAATCCTGAATGATGACAGTTTGTCATGAAAATGATATGATGATTAATCTTCTTGTTGCCAGGGTTTCGTGTCTAAAAGAGAATACATCGCAACACAAGGCCCACTCCCGTCGACGCGCGACGATCTGTGGAGAATGTTATGGGAACAGAATGCCCGGAACATCGTCATGCTGACCAAGTGTATGGAGAAAGGACGGGTAAGAAACCTTCAGTTCATTGTCCCAAAGTTTATGCCTTTATTTTTTTTCTTGATTTGTTTTTCAATTCCTTGTGTTTTAACCAGAAACTAATTTTCAGTTGTTTTCCCCAGCATCTTATTCATCTTAATTATCTCCCCTTGACTGTAACTTTAACAAATACTGGTAAACCACAAGAAAGACCAACCTGTGAACCATTATGCGTTTTTGTGCCAATAAGTGAAACATTGTTTGTATTTGGGGCCAAATAAGTGAAACATTGTATGTATTTGCACCAATAAGTGAAACATTGTATGTATTTGCACCAATAAGTGAAACATTGTATGTATTTGCACCAATAAGTGAAACATTGTATGTATTTGGGCCAATAAGTGAAACATTGTATGTATTTGGGCCAATAAGTGAAGTAGCCCTTGAAAAACAAACTAAGACTAAAACATTTTCTATAACAGTTCATATGCAATAAAATACAACTTCTACATTGCTGTGTTTTGTGTAAAACATCTGAAATAAACACAAGAAGATACAGACTGTTATGTAAATTTTCAGACTTAGCGCAGGGTACTTAGATCACTTACAGAAAGGTCTATATGTTAAGTCAGGGAGTGCTTAATGTGGTGAATACAGTAGCTGGAGTATTGCTAAAATTGGCATCAGGGTCGGATCAAGGATTTTAAAATAGAGGGGGGGGGGTCCACTTGGCCATTTGTAACTTCAGTGGGGGTGAGGGATGCCACCCAAAAAATCACAAACACTACATGTAAACCACAACCAAATTTTCACAACCAAATCAACCTGTTATGGAAGGAAATGCGCATACAAAATGTCATTAGATGTTAAAAAAAGGGAAGATGGGTGGGGTTTGTGGAACCCCCCGCTAGAACTGGCACAGGGCGTTGAACCATACTCACTCACTCACACATGATCTGTGTGACTACTCAATCAGTACTATAACACTTGTAACACTTGTCCTGATCCAACGTCAAGTCGGATGTAAATAATTGAGGAAGTTTATTTGAGGATTAGTGTTTACTGTAAGGTGGTGTACTAGTATGTTGTTTGTTTTCCCTATTTACTGAGTTCTTGTTCATGATATGATATCACACCCTTATTAATATTTTTAAAAGCCAACCCAACATTGCCGAGCATCATGATTATTTAGTGTGTTGTGATAACCTGTGAATGACCTGTGAATGACCTGTGACCTATTTCAGGACTTCGCCGGTGGTTTTGTAAATGAGGAGGTACAATTACTTTCACTGCAGGAAAAGTGTCCGGGATCTTTTCCTTCTAACATTTTTGAAATTCTGGTGTTGGATTTTGGTTCTCTTGTCAAATATAAAGGTTCCCGAGACCTTTAGGCATGAAGTTGGAAAGCAGAAGTTCATTCTACATTAACAATATTGAAGGAGTTTTCTTTTGAAGCTTTTAGGGGCAGTTTAAGGGCAGGCTGAAATGGGCTGGAGTTTTTGGTTTCATTGTCTTATAGGAGAAGGAATTCTTTTTGAAAAGATTTGAATTTACATACAAGTCATCATTATAACTGCAAACATGATACTATATTGATAAAAATAAATAAATAAATTTTTCACTCTCTTTTGACAACATTAAATTTGCCAACTTTCCACATTATTATTCTCCTTGAAATTTGTTTGTTTTACCAATGTTATCAGTTCTCTATTTTCTGAGTCTAGCCCTAGACATGTTGTAAGCTTGTGTTTATTCCTTGCCTTGTTTGTTCTCCTGCAGGAGAAAAGTGACCACTACTGGCCGAATGATTCTGAGCCGAAGTTTTACGGAGACCTGCAAGTTGCAATATTGAATGAAACCCATCTTCCTGACTGGACAATATCAGAGTTTAAGATACAGTTGGTAAGACATCTTGCCTACATTATACTGCCAATACCCTACCTCTATTACATCATTGTCAATTTTTGTCTGTCATCTCAACTTAAAAAATGCCTGTACATATTTAAAAACCAAGACGTCTGCCTTTGTTTTAGTAATCTGAAAATTAATTGTGCACCAAACATAATAGACTATAGTATTCACTGCAATTATTTAATTTTTGAACCCTTTTGAATTTCTTGGTCTGTCTTAGAGTTGTGTCAGATGAATAGCTTCTTTATAATCGTGGAAAAGGGCAAGGAAAGTAGTATATAGGGTTGACCAGTGACAAGGGTATGTTCTGAGAGCACTCCTATTGTTTCCAGGGAGAACAAGCCCGGCAGATCCGACACTTCCATTACAAAGCCTGGCCTGATTTTGGCGTTCCCAAAGATCCCACATCTCTCCTACGATTTGTCCGCACTGTACGAGAGAAGATGTTCAGAGATGGTGGCCCCATCATTACACACTGCAGGTAGGCTGCCAACCACTGCTGGCTTCATCTTTGTTTGGTAGCTTTGGGGTGTACTTAAGATTAATATTTGACCTGAGTGGAATTGGGATCCACATAACTGCATATGAATCAAAATGAATGGAAAAATGAATGATCTACTATATATTTGTTTTAACACCTGGCATCAGTGATTTTCACTGATCCATTCATATAATTGTCACCACTATTTTGCCTTCTGTTTTTTAATCTGTTTTGGCGGATAAGTTTGACTGGTTATTCTCTGGTGTTGACATTTTGTATTTAAATCTGTCAGTAGTGAAGCACAACAGTGATATTAACTATGATGTTTTTATCTGTCTCGCCATGGACATGAGATGGATGGATAATTTGATGTTTGTTTGTTGTTTAACGCCACACTCAGCATTATTCCAGCTATATGACGGATGGTCTGTAAATAATGGAGTCTGGACTAGACAATCTAGCGATTAATATGTGCATCGGTCCACGCGATTGGGATAGATGACATGCATCAACCAAGTCAGCGAGCCTGATCACCCGATCCCGTTAGTCGCCTTTTATGACAAGCATAGTCACTAATTTGATGAGTTGTTTCAGCCCTAGATGTTGTAGATGGAGGAATGTCCACGTCCAGAGCCAAGCCATGACCGTGATGTTTGAGACTGTGTGTTGTATTGTTGCCGTGCCAGTGTTGTAGATGGAGGCATGTCCGCGTCCAGTGCCAAGCCATGACCGTGATGTTTGAGACTGTGTGTTGTATTGTTGCAGTGCCGGAGTTGGTCGGTCAGGGACGTTCATCGTGCTGGACCACTGTTTACAGCACATCAAGGAGAAGGACATTGTAGATATATACCAGATTGTCTATAAGTTGAGGAAGGAGAGAGTCCTGATGGTGCAAACTGAGGTAGGTTCACGAGGATCTCGATATAACACCTTAGTGACAGGATGAGCAGTGCTTCACCCTCATCAAGTCAGTATTCATATATGAGGGGGTGGTGGGGTAGCCGAGTGGTTAAAGCAATCGCTCATCACACTGAAGGCCTCTGTTCGATTCCCAAAATGGGTACAATGTCTGAAGGCCAATTCTGGTGTCCCTTGTCATGATATTGCTGGAATATTGCTAAAACCAGCATGAAATCCAACAAACTCAATCTATCAAATATTAGTGTTTATATCTTATCCTTATCTTTATCGGAGAGTGGAAGGTCATGAGTTCAATCCCCAGCCGTGTCATAACAAAGCATATTAAAAGGTGGTACTTGTTGTTACCCTGCCTGGAGTTTGGCATTGACGGGATTAAACTAAGATTGGTCGGCTCTTAATCCGTATACTAGGTCAAGGTACAGTATGGTATGTCAGGGGGCTAGCACTGTAGAACTGGCATTAGTCTGGACTAGCACAGGTAGCCACACACTCATATGTGCATGCATATCGTCAAATAAGTGCAACCGCCTCCGTGGTATAGTGGTAGAGCGGAAGGTCTGGGGTTCGATCCCCGACCGCGTCATACCAAAAGACGTTAAAAGATGGTACTTGTTGTTACCCTGTCTGGCGCTCAGCATTAAGGGGCTAAAACAAGGACTGGTCGGCTCGGAGTCAGTATACTGTGTCTGAGTGGGGTTTTCATGTTCAACTGCAGCATGGTATCTCAGTGAGGTATCACTATAAATCGGCATCAGTCCGGACTAGTACAAGCAGCCACACAAACACACACACACGTACATGCACGTCGCTATATAAGTGCAATAATCTCCGACGCGACGTTAAACCCCATTTCACCTCACCTCATATAAGTGCAATAATCTTGGACGCGACAATAATGCCTTTATCACCTCACTTTATCATTATTTCTTTCACAATTATAAATTTAGTTGAGTATGAATAATATCTTTTTTTTATCTCTAATGATCTCTGTGTGATAAGAAATGATCCCATGTATAAGGCAAGTGTTCTTTGATGTCATGACCACAATCAATGATGTCTGTTTCAGCAACAATACAAGTTTATTCATGAGTGCTTGCTGTGTGTGTTAGAAGGGCGTGAGGACGAGGCCACCTACGCCAATGTGGGTCACGTCAATGTTGCCTATGAAGGTAGGTTCACCGTGCGATGGTCTTTCATAGAACTTTTCTCAGACCAAGTAACTTGGGGATTATATCAGATTCTAACCCAACTTAGTGGGAAGAGGATATAAATCTGCTGTATTTTTACTTTTACTAACTTTATGATATCTATTATCTCTGCTTTAACTTATGGGTCTTTGCCACTGACTACTTCATAATATCTGGTGTATTTTCAATCTCATTAAAATCAGATATCTCATTCTGATACGGTACCTGTGTATGTCAAAATCTCACAACGCTACCATAGAAGAACAAGACGAAACTTTGACCCTCCAATGAAAATGTGTGGGGTTTTGAGACAATCATAGGTCAGCTTTCGAAATCATTTCTGCTCTGTGATTTTACTGCTTTATTCGGAATTTTCTATCTCTGCCCCAAAACCGCAAATTGAACACAAACATACCCCCACTGTGTCCCTTTTGGGTGTAGATGACATACATTCACAAATGACCGGATGTAGTTGTCCACTTTGTATATACAAGGCGTTTTAATTTGCATTCCTAATTCCTTGATTAGATTTGTATTCTTAATACAGAAATCAGATATTCTTATCTGAATGTTTGACTCATTAGTACCGATAATTTAGACGCCTTGATGCTGATTGGCTTATTAGAAAGTTCAGCTACATGACCACCCTGGGGGTGACCTCAGATCTCCATGCAGAAAGGTATTATCAGGTGTCAAAGATCTGATTTTAATGAGATTGGTGTATTTTAGTCATCGGTTGTTGATGTTCCCGGCCTTATGGGTAGTTCCACAATCTCTTTGTCAAACATCTCATGTCGGTAATATTTAAGATGGTTTAACCTTGATGTCATTTATCCAGTCTATTTCAACATTTCCCACTACATACCTAGCTGAAGCTTGTATATATTAGGAAGCAAGTATATGTTGTGATACAGTCAAGGACATAAAGGGAGATAACCTGTCACTGCAGGATTTGAAAAAAAGAACAAGAAAAAACGTTAACCAGGCTTAGGTTGTGGATGATAACGTAAATCTGCAAAACACCTAAAACTAGGTTTTTAATGTTTATTTTATTTTTTTTTATAAATGTGTATGTAAGCTTGCATTGTCCTTATTCCTTGGTGAGGGGCGGTCGGGTAGCCTAGTGGTTAAAGCGTTCGCTCGTCACGCTGAAGACCCGGGTTCGATTCCCGACATGGGTACAATGTGTGAAGCCCATTTCTGGTGTCCCCCGCCATGATATTGCTGGAATATTACTAAAAGCGGGCTTTACGAATGTAGGTTGATAGACTACCAAATTTCTAGATCAGCTCCGTGTGAAACAAGGGTCAATAGCAACTCAAACTTCTCAGGACCAAAAGATGGAGGAGAAGACTTCTTCTTAGTTCACTTTCTTACATTGGTCGAGGGTATCTGGTTCTCAGGGAAGGCTAAATGTTATTTTGTTCTTTTATGTAGGTATCAGAAACTTACTCCTTTTGACAGGCTTTTAGTTTTTTTGAATGAAGTATTGTTTTCATTGGCTATTTGTAAGTGGGTGTTGAACAGTTGATTGGTTGGATCTACAGTGTGTAGAAATGGGCCGTTTAGGTATCTTAGAATAGGTGTCATTTTCCATGAATCTTCATTTTTAGAGATAAGGGCACTATGGCTTTTCTTCACCCATCTTTTAAAAAAATAGTGTTCAGTTTCTAAAATGTCTGCATCTTATACACAATTCACGCTGACAAGTTATTTAGAGTTTGTACGTGCTACACATATATCCCATCATGCCTTAGGTCACATGAGCAGAAGCAGTCTTTCAACACAGCTATCTATTGAAGGTAACAGCAAACTGCTTGGCCCGAGATTAACCTGCACATTCTCGACCAATCACAAGGAGCCACAGCGAGATGTGTACTAACACCTGTCCTCGTGGGGGGTTGCACTGTTCTCATCTCAATCTTCATCACCACTGTTGTTTATTCAAGGGAATTAATTCACTCTCTGTCATGTTGAACTGCCTACACATGTTTACTAATGTTGAAAATACCGAAGTGCACTTTTGGTTGTTAATATTCACAAGACCTAGATGTTATTTCCTGCTTGATATGGTTCCAGAACTTTCTTGTAGATTTGGTCAAGAGGGAGATAACTTGTGATAATAGTTAATTAATTCAAAGCGTATAATCCAGATATTTTGAGAGATATCATTTTGTTACAGAAAGGGAAACATAAAAGTTTTGAACATTCCTATATATCTTTTGAGTTTTACAAAATGTGAATGAGTTTATTGAGAGATTATATCAAGTCGAGAAATAATGTCAGTTTGTTGAGAGACTATTCCAAGTACAGAAATACCGTGAGTTTATCAAGAGAATATTTCAAGTAGAGAAACACTGAGTTTGTTGAGGGACAACATCAAGTAGAGAAATACTGCAAGTTTATTGAGAGGCTATATCAAGTAGAGAAACACTGAGTTTATTGAGAGGCTATATCAAGTAGAGAAATACTGCAAGTTTATTGAGAGGCTATATCAAGTAGAGAAACACTGAGTTTATTGAGAGGCTATACCAAGTAGAGAAATACTGCAAGTTTATTGAGAGGCTATATCAAGTAGAGAAATACTGTGAGTTTATTGACAGGCTATATCAAGTAGAGAAATACTGCAAGTTTATTGAGAGGCTATATCAAGTAGAGAAATACTGAGTTTATTGAGAGGCTAAATCAAGTAGAGAAATACTGTGAGTTTATTGAGAGGCTATATCAAGTAGAGAAATACTGTGAGTTTATTGAGAGGCTATATCAAGTAGAGAAATACTGTGAGTTTATTGAGAGGCTTTATCAAGTAGAGAAATACTGCAAGTTTATTGAGAGGCTATATCAAGTAGAGAAATACTGTGAGTTTATTGAGAGGCTATATCAAGTAGAGAAACACTGTGAGTTTATTGAGAGGCTATATCAAGTAGAGAAACACTGTGAGTTTATTGAGAGGCTATACCAAGTAGAGAAACACTGTGAGTTTATTGAGAGGCTATATCAAGTAGAGAAACACTGTGAGCTTATTGAGAGGCTATATCAAGTAGAGAAATACTGTGAGTTTATTGAGAGGCTATATCAAGTAGAGAAACACTGTGAGTTTATTGAGAGGCTATATCAAGTAGAGAAACACTGTGAGTTTATTGAGAGGCTATACCAAGTAGAGAAACACTGTGAGTTTATTGAGAGGCTATATCAAGTAGAGAAACACAGTGAGTTTATTGAGAGGCTATATCAAGTAGAGAAACACAGTGAGTTTATTGAGAGGCTATATCAAGTAGAGAAACACTGTGAGTTTATTGAGAGGCTATACCAAGTAGAGAAACACTGTGAGTTTATTGAGAGGCTATATCAAGTAGAGAAACACTGTGAGTTTATTGAGAGGCTATACCAAGTAGAGAAACACTGAGTTTATTGAGAGGCTATATCAAGTAGAGAAACACTGAGTTTATTGAGAGGCTATATCAAGTAGAGAAATACTGCAAGTTTATTGAGAGGCTATATCAAGTAGAGAAATACTGAGTTTATTGAGAGGCTAAATCAAGTAGAGAAATACTGCAAGTTTATTGAGAGGCTATATCAAGTAGAGAAATACTGTGAGTTTATTGAGAGGCTATATCAAGTAGAGAAATACTGTGAGTTTATTGAGAGGCTTTATCAAGTAGAGAAATACTGCAAGTTTATTGAGAGGCTATATCAAGTAGAGAAATACTGTGAGTTTATTGAGAGGCTATATCAAGTAGAGAAACACTGTGAGTTTATTGAGAGGCTATATCAAGTAGAGAAACACTGTGAGTTTATTGAGAGGCTATACCAAGTAGAGAAACACTGTGAGTTTATTGAGAGGCTATATCAAGTAGAGAAACACTGTGAGCTTATTGAGAGGCTATATCAAGTAGAGAAATACTGTGAGTTTATTGAGAGGCTATATCAAGTAGAGAAACACTGTGAGTTTATTGAGAGGCTATATCAAGTAGAGAAACACTGTGAGTTTATTGAGAGGCTATACCAAGTAGAGAAACACTGTGAGTTTATTGAGAGGCTATATCAAGTAGAGAAACACAGTGAGTTTATTGAGAGGCTATATCAAGTAGAGAAACACAGTGAGTTTATTGAGAGGCTATATCAAGTAGAGAAACACTGTGAGTTTATTGAGAGGCTATACCAAGTAGAGAAACACTGTGAGTTTATTGAGAGGCTATATCAAGTAGAGAAACACTGTGAGTTTATTGAGAGGCTATACCAAGTAGAGAAACACTGAGTTTATTGAGAGGCTATATCAAGTAGAGAAACACTGAGTTTATTGAGAGGCTTTATCAAGTAGAGAAATACTGCAAGTTTATTGAGAGGCTATATCAAGTAGAGAAATACTGTGAGTTTATTGAGAGGCTATATCAAGTAGAGAAACACTGTGAGTTTATTGAGAGGCTATATCAAGTAGAGAAACACTGTGAGTTTATTGAGAGGCTATACCAAGTAGAGAAACATTGTGAGTTTATTGAGAGGCTATATCAAGTAGAGAAACACTGTGAGCTTATTGAGAGGCTATATCAAGTAGAGAAATACTGTGAGTTTATTGAGAGGCTATATCAAGTAGAGAAACACTGTGAGTTTATTGAGAGGCTATATCAAGTAGAGAAACACTGTGAGTTTATTGAGAGGCTATACCAAGTAGAGAAACACTGAGTTTATTGAGAGGCTATATCAAGTAGAGAAACACAGTGAGTTTATTGAGAGGCTATATCAAGTAGAGAAACACAGTGAGTTTATTGAGAGGCTATACCAAGTAGAGAAACACTGTGAGTTTATTGAGAGGCTATACCAAGTAGAGAAACACTGTGAGTTTATTGAGAGGCTATATCAAGTAGAGAAACACTGAGTTTATTGAGAGGCTATATCAAGTAGAGAAACACTGAGTTTATTGAGAGGCTATATCAAGTAGAGAAACACTGAGTTTATTGAGAGGCTATATCAAGTAGAGAAACACTGTGAGTTTATTGAGAGGCTATACCAAGTAGAGAAATACTGTGAGTTTATTGAGAGGCTATATCAAGTAGAGAAACACAGTGAGTTTATTGAGAGGCTATATCAAGTAGAGAAACACAGTGAGTTTATTGAGAGGCTATATCAAGTAGAGAAACACTGTGAGTTTATTGAGAGGCTATATCAAGTAGAGAAACACAGTGAGTTTATTGAGAGGCTATATCAAGTAGAGAAACACTGAGTTTATTGAGAGGCTATATCAAGAAGAGAAACACAGTGAGTTTATTGAGAGGCTATATCAAGTAGAGAAACACTGTGAGTTTATTGAGAGGCTATACCAAGTAGAGAAACACTGTGAGTTTATTGAGAGGCTATACCAAGTAGAGAAACACTGTGAGTTTATTGAGAGGCTATATCAAGTAGAGAAACACTGAGTTTATTGAGAGGCTATATCAAGTAGAGAAACACTGTGAGTTTATTGAGAGGCTATATCAAGTAGAGAAACACTGAGTTTATTGAGAGGCTATATCAAGTAGAGAAACACTGTGACCATGAGGTTATTCCTGCTTGGGACAGGTCTCCGGTATGTGTTGCATGAAGGTGTGTGTGGAAGCTTGGGACATTAACTGCATGATACAAGCATGAATTGTTGGACAAGATTTGCATTTTTGCAAAAATTCACAAGTTAGAAATTTCACATGCACTTAAGAATTTTTCATTTGAATTCTTTGGTTGCGATAAGTAATCTCCTCTTGTTTGATTTAGAAAACAATCAGTTGGCAGATGACTTTGTGTTTGGTTATATGTAGAGAGTGTGAGTATATTGGTTAGGTCGTGGAAACTAAATTTTATTATTAGTAAAATATGTCAAGATATGACCAGGTCACCAAGCTGTTTTTTACCAGTTTCCCAGCAGTGAAAAAAACTCATTGAAAGCCAGAGCAAACATTATGGCATATAAACAGAAATATAGTGCCACTTGTAAATCCTGACAATCGTGGCATTTATGGAGCAAATATTAACATTAAATGATGAGAAAAAGACAATCAGGATTGATTGCCCTAAACAAATTATCACACAGCATTTATACCTGAGTTGCACAATGATGAAAAACATTTTCAAACGTTTCTCGGACCTTCCTCAAGGAATTAGATTCTCACTAGGAAATGATGTGGTTGGTAATTTATGTACTGACAGGAGGATTGGAGAATATTTGGTATTGGAAACCCTGCAAGACATACGTTCTTTTACTACATCGGCAGTGATATTCTTAGTGTCTGCTGGGGGGCACGGGTGGCCCAGTCGTCTAAGGTGCCGCGATTCGCTGTGCATAGTTGTGATTGTGGGTTCGAATCCCGGTTCGCCGATTATGTTTCTAGGTTTGTCAGCACCATACCCGTGCTCGTGGGTTTCACCGAAGTGGTAAACGTTTGAGACCTGCATCACTTCAGGCTTTCCCCCCACATTGAGCTGACACGCCGTGATATAACTGTAATAATGTTAAAAGCGGCGTCAAACCCAACTCACTCACTAGTTTCTGCTGGTTCAGGGTGTGGTTCTAAGAGACTATTGTATCAAACCATCACCCTGTTTCTGTGGCGTCACGAGTTAAGAATAGATTTAAAATGCAGTGTTTGTTTTCCTCAGTATTCAATGTTTGTGTTCCTCCAGGAACATATTTCTTAGTTGGTATTTGTTAAATCAGCATATTCTTTATTTATAGAGCTTTTTTTTATTTCTGTTTTTTTTAAAGACTCGGTTAATTGGTTGGTCAAGGAGACAAATGATTCCTTGACCCTATTATCTGAATATTTTTTCATGTTTAAAAGACAAAAGTCGGAGAAGATTTATCTTTTCAAAGGGATCTTTTCTGAGATGGAGAGAGTTCAAATGTGGAAGTTGTCCACAAAAATAATACTTGGATTGACAGTGAAAATTTGGATATGTAGACCATGAATGATAAATGGTCACTTATGAGACTGATGTATGACTTAGAGTTTGAGAATAATAAGTTCTAGTAGATGACCTTAAAATTGTAATGTGCACTAAATTAAACACTTCTATACTTAAGTGTTTTACACAGCATTTTGATCAGTCTGAAATGAACGTATGGTAGAAGAAACACTTTCAGCCCCCACAGTCAGATTAAGTTGAATGTTTTTTTTCTAATTTTAGCATGAGTGACAATGCTAGAGCGTAGCGGTGAGTTATTGCAAGGGCAGATAACTCTTGTGGCTATGTTTCTAAATCCCTGCTTAAGTTGCTTTTGGACTTTCTAATACAGCGATTTTTGCCAGTTCTTTGTCCGATTGCTTTCTGTCTGTACTGATTTTTGTTTAAGTTAGCTTTTAGTTTTGTTAGTTCCTGCAATTTGGTAAAATGGCAATGGTTTGGATAATTGGTTGAATGAATGAATGAATGCATGTTCAACAGATAATAATTTGGAAATATTCCGTATTGGTTTATTAGTTGAGAAAAGTAAATAGAAGCTGTTAAACATTTAAATTTATTGAGTAAATGTTCCTAGTTACATACCTGCAAGGTTTCCTTTAAAGTTTCAACTTTTTATGTTTTTCTGCTTCAGTAGTTTGCAATCTATAACCCTGTCTTATGTAGAGTAATTTCACTTTCTGTGCCATGTTACTAACAAAGAAAGTGTTTATGAAGTAAATATTTGATGTCTTGTACATATACTGAACAAAAAAAGGGATAATGAATATTTTCTTAAGAAATTCTGCTCAGTCTTCACTGGAAAAAAGTATCCTAAAAAATATTCATGATCCCTAACTTCCATATATATCGTAAAAGGCGATTAACGGGATCGGGTGGTCAGGCTCGCTGACTTGGTTGATGCATGTCATCGATCCCAATTGCGTGGATCGATGCTCATGATATTAATCACTGGATTGTCTGGTCCAGACTCGATTGTTTACAGACCGCCATCATATAGCTGGAATATTGCTGAGGGCGGCGTTAAACAACAAACCAAACCAAAAAAACAAACCAAAACCATATATATTCATGCACATTTTTGAAGAACATTTGAAACAGTCAAACTCACTGGATAAAATATCCAACGTTAAAAATGATTTGAGTTTTTTTTAACCTCTTTATTTCACTCAAGCACCCTTGGTAAAAGTGACTTTTTCATTCATTCCTCTTATTTAGCAATCTATTGCCATTTTGCATTTTTGTTCTATGTTTTGGTTTTCTTTCAAATATTTCGGTAATAACTGATTTAAAGTTGTGATATTTCAATGTTTCTTATCATGTCCGTTTCAGATGACGAGGGCATCAATGTGGAGATTCCATGATAAAGAGGTGATGACATGCTCAGAGGTGATGACATACTCAGAGGTCATGGTCATCATTTGTGTTGTGATACATGATTGACACCTGTCAGTCACGGACAATTGTGATATTTCATCATGGATGACGTTTTTCAACAGCATTCGGATTGGATTGTGAAATAGACCAATATTCCTGGGAACAAGATGCAATGTTTCAACCATTTGAAACGGCGCCAACTCATATTTTGACTTGTATTTTTGTACAGTCAAGTTACTTGATCGAGACAATTTGACTTATGCAATGTTTTGTTTGTGAACCGTGAAGTGCAGTATACATTCATGTGTGTAGCGTGTCTTGTGAAATATCAAACTCAATGTGCCGGTGCTCAAATACAAGTTAGGAGCATTATTACATATATATGTTAACCAAGGACTGAAGGACTTCAAATCAAGCTCAAGGGATTCAAATATACCAAACTTTCTGAATATAACTCATTTTATTTCTTATTTAGGAGGGGGCACAGGTGGCCCAGTCGTCTAAGGCGCAGCGATTCGCTGTGCAGAGTTGCGTCCCTTGGACACGCCAGAAACCTATGATTGTGGGTTCGAATCCCGGTTCGCCCCGATTTCTAGGTTTGTCAGCACCATACCCGTGCTCGTGGGTTTCACCGAAGTGGTAAACGTCTGAGACCTGCATCACTTCGGGCTTTCCTCCCACATTAAGCTGACACGCCGCGATATAACTGGAATACTGTTAAAAGCGGCGTTAAAAACCCAACTCGCTCACTCACTCCTATTTAGGGTTTGATACAAGTTATTGTTCGTCAGCTACATTCATGAAAATATTTTGGTGCAAAGGGTCGTCAATGTATGTGACATATTCTTTGACGTGGATTCTGATAGCTGTCAGCTGCATACATGAAAATATTTTTGAGCAAAGTGTCGTCAATGTATGTGACATCTCAATGACTTGGATTCTGACAATCTGACATTGTCAGCTCTGTGTTCCTGTTCCTGTGTGTGGGAACAGTTCGACAGTTTTGAGATTTGTGTCATATTTGTGTCGCTAGTCATAGGTTTTACATGTGCGTTCATCCTTTTATGCCTTTTTAGGATATTTTTAGACATTTCTCTAAAAGTATTTAGCTCACTATTTTTACTATCCCAACGATCTATAGCTTATGTCTAGACAGCTGACAATTCAATCAAATTGTATGAAAGTAGAACACATTTGGTGACAAAATTAATTTTTGTAATCGTAAAACTGTCTTATGAGCTTCCAAAATCAGACCTCTTATCTATACACAGCAGGGGCGGTCAGGTAGCCGAGTGGTTAAAGCGTTTGCTCGTCACGCCGAAGACCCGGGTTCGATTCCCGACATGGGTACAATGTGTGAAGCCCATTTCTGGTTCCCCTGCCGTGATATTGCGGGAACATTGCTAAAAGCGGCGTAAAACCATACTCACTCACTCTAAACACACCATCCTTATATATTTACTGTTTCTTGTTTTTATTTCATTTCATCATCTCATGGCTCAGTAATTGGTGTTTGTCATCTTTTAAGAAAGCGATACACGTGATAAGAAGTCAAGGCAAAGGATCTAAGTTTGCATTATAGTGTAATGGTGCCAACTTTTATGTGTAAATTTTGTGTCCATCTTTCCCGAATGGATATTTGTTTTTATTGCCTGTATCTTTTTCTGCAAACCTGTGTGATATTGTAGACCTTGCCACAGATACACAGCATTACGATACACATTGCCATACGCCCCATTCAGCCATACCAACACACCTCATGAGGCTGGGATAACACCTGTCCTGGGAATATATTGTCTGAATACTGGATCCTGGCATTATTCCTACCACCTGAGGAGGCACGAGTGGCCATGTTGTCTAAGGCGCCGCAATTCGCTGTGCAGAGATACGTCCCTTAGCACGTCAGAAACCTATGATCAGGGGTTCAAATCCCGGTTCGCCTCAATAATGTTTCTAGGTTTGTCAGCACCATTCCCGTTTCACCAAAGTGGTAAACATCTGAGACCTGCATCACTTCGGACTTTCCTCCCACAATAAGCTGGCACGCCGTGATATAACTGGAATAATGTTAAAAGTGGCATTAAACCCAACCCACTCACTCCTACCACCTGAAACAAAATTATTTATCAGGAATACACAGTTACTTGAAATAACTTCTTACTTGGCCTTGGCACAGGTGGCCCAGTCATCTAATGTGCCACTAGTCACTGTGCAGAGTTGCATGCCAGAAACCTACGATTGTGGGTTCGAATCCCAGCCCCGATTATATTTCTATGTTCGTCAGCATCATACACGTTCTTGTGGGTTTCACGGAACTGGTAAATATCTGAGACCTGCATCACTTCGGGCTTTCCTCCCACTGTAATGTAACTGGAGTACTGCTTAAATACGTTCAACCCAACTCAATCACTAGCTCTAACTTGTCCTCCCTGTTTCAATAACAACCAGTATTTTAATAAACTTGTCAACTTTTCACTTTTTGAAATTGTCACATGACAACTTCATTGTCAGCGGCAAACTATCTCAAGTAGAATGTAGGTGGTTCTCGATGAGCTGATGCTGTAGCTGGGATGCAGAATACATCGATATTTGTTGTTGCTGCCTTTTTTTTTGCTGACAGGACAAAATTCGTGACCTCCACTCCTCACTAGTCACACCAGTCTATTATTTATTTTCACAGTCTATTGCCAAAAGGTGAACACATATATACATAGCAAGTTTGCCACCAGCAAATACCATGTTTTTCACAAAACATATTGTGTATGTATTTTCAATGATATTGACATATATTCCCGAGAATGTGTTTATATTGAGATATTTAAATCTAAGGTTGTAACTAATAACATCATATTGAAGCAATTTGTATATATTTCATCCTCAGTGATATCCCACATTTCATTGTTAAATTTTAAATTGTTTGTGCTCATTCATTGACATGGGAATACTACAAAATACCTTAATCTGTACAATAGTGGATGATAAACGTTAGCAAAATGTGTATCCCTCGACTGCAAATAATGTCTTTCTCTTAAATAAATGGCACATCGATAAACAGATATGCATGCAGTGGAACCGTAGGACCAGAGTTTGATGTTATGGTGTGACTTGTAGCTCTCGGGCTGGGATGAAGTACTTGGGTCGGGTGGGTACTGAGTAGGACCCGGGTACCCACAGGACTACCCAGACCCATGGTTACTCACACGATATAGAGTTTATTGACAAAAATTATCTATAACTCCATGGTTACACTACAAGTCACTTATGTCCGTATTTCTCTCTGACTATGCATGTATTCCTTCTTTTATATGTTTGCATAAAGATAGGTTTCAGTCAACTTTGGTATATGCATGACGAGATCATTTTTTACACGTGTCTAAATACTTTTTGCCAGGGCTCTGGTCAAACAATTCCCAATCGGACATTTTCTACCCAACGCTTGCACCTACAGAGGGTACCGGGGTAGGTCTGGTAATAGGGGGTAATTGTCTGGTAATAGGGGGTAATTGTCTGGTAATAGGGGGTAATTGTCTGGTAATAGGGGATAATTGTCTGGTAATAAGGGGTAATTGTCTGGTAATAAGGGGTAATTGTCTGGTAATAGGGGATAATTGTCTGGTAATAGGGGGTAATTGTCTGGTAATAGGGGGTAATTGTCTGGTAATAGGGGGTAATTGTCTGGTAATAGGGGATAATTGTCTGGTAATAGGGGGTAATTGTCTGGTAATTGGGTACCAGGGTAGTAAATTTGGACTCATCCCAGCCCTAATCGGTACTGTATATAGTTTAGATATGCAAATATTGTTTCAGTGGTCAACCGAATGTAAAGTTCTATAAAACTAGGGACAGACTGATAATAAAATGTGCTGATATACGATATTAATAAAGTAAGTACTTCAAATCATGTAGGTATTCAATTATCCTAAGTGTCCTATATGTGTAATACGTATTCAAGTTTATACTCTAAATATTAGATCTGTTACAATGCAAATGAATCAAGATATAAAAAAGTATTAATAGTCTGTATATGATAATATTGTTTCATTATTTAACTTTTTTTAGCTTGGTAACACTGATGCAATGCTAACTGAAATCAACTTTTTTATGTGAGATAAAGTTAAGCTTGGATTAGAAATTCACTTGTCATGTGTCATGATGGTCACAATTCTACAAAGGCAAAGCTCAGGTGATGTATGACTTACTTATGGAACATTCCATTTTTTAAGCTCATTATCAAATTGAAGAACATAGGAAAGTGAATATACATCTATATGCTGTCCAGATCGTTGGTATACAATTTCCAATAGTTCAACCTGAATTACAAGTACCCATTGTTTTGTCATCAGTGTTGTAAAGTGGTGATACTGTAGTTTGTTTGAAGGACTGATATCAAAAGATTGAGTTTTTATGTATGTGTGAAAGCTCAGTAACTCTGCGTTTTATAACATTGGTCATTTATTTGGAATGTTGGACCTTTTACCAGTATGAATGTTTTTTTGTTATTGTAGTAAGCTGTGAGTTAGGCATCTTCCATGCAGCAACAACTACAACAAGCAATGCTAAGAGTATACAGTGATAGATATACACATTCCTAAATGAACATCTCAACAAAAGAAATTAATTTGTAATTGATATATTTTTGTGTGTGTGATGGTAAAATCAAGAAAAGTGAGGGTTTTTTACCCTGACTTGCAATAATTTCTTTAACAAGTTCATGATGTGCCTTAGGATTAATTGAATTAATTAGTTGGTTACTTTGATTGTAAAATAACAAGTATGCCTGAGGCTGTGAATACTTCTCGAGTTGGAGTTGAAAGAATTATCCTAAATCGTTCATCTAACTAAAATTTCTTTCAGCTTCGTAGAGACTTTAAGATGAAGTTCATCTTTGATATTTTTCCTTTTGTTTTGTATTTTCTTTTATTGATTCCTTAACTTTGTAATGTCATTGCCTACACAAGCCTTTCCATAGCTTCTAGTTTGTATACTATGGAGCAACTTTCCTTGAACTTTGTATTTTGTACTTAAATCTTAATTTTGACTTGAAATGTTGTAAATGTACATTGTGATATAACCAAGTGTTCATAAAACAGTCATATCATGGTAGTTTTACTCAACAGGCTCTGTATATAATTCTTATGCAAGGGTGTTTTTATATATAATGGTATATATATTTTTGTATAAATTGGAAGTTTTGTACAGTTGCAGTGTAAAAGTTAGTCAAAATTGTAAAAATTATTGTAGCAATATGACATTAAATATTTTCTCAATAAATCAAAATATGCAGTCATACCTGTGACTTTCTCTCTTCTTTTGTCTCGATGGGGACACAAGTTGTAGTAGGCCTAGTTGTCTCCCCTAGCTGCTGTCAGGATCTGGTTCTTTTCCAGATCCACCTTCAGCTTGGTATGCTTTCATACCTGCCTGGGTTTCATAAAACAGGAGAGGTCAGTGTTATGGCATTGTCCATGACCCTTGCTGGTATGGATTGGGATTTTCAGTAACAGAAAATGGGGATCTAGAGTCTACAGAATGATTAAGAACTTGTACATGTATGCATGGGTGGCAGCTTGACAACAGTGACAAATGTTGATATACACA